TCTGTGTTGCTATTCAACTTCTTCCTTGGAGCCCTTCTCTCACTTCTGTTTCATCAAGTGCGCACTCCCGTGTCCCCCCACGCCGGCCCCCAAGCCCCTCATACTACCTTGCGCCCGAACTAGATCCCGCGTGCTCCTTAAGACCTAGGACACAAACATACCCCTCCTTCCGCCCCTCGTTTTCTGCCCAAATAGCTATATTTGCCCAGAGCTCTTCTAGGCGTTGTTTAGGTGGAACACAGTAGAGTGCGGCTGAAGCTGAACCCATGCGGGGAAACTCTTCACCTGTCCAGGGTTAGCGCAGAGAACTCTCTCAGCCCGGCACACCCTGATGCAAAGGGACACTTTTGGCCCCCTCCTTCCTCCATCCCAGTCTGTCCCGCTGCGTGTCCTCTCTGATTCCAGGAGCCACCACCACACCTGGCCCTGGGGCTGCCCTGAGAGCGGGGAGCGGGGAATCTCTTCCGCTTGCTCCACAGCGGACGGAGGCTGGCCGGCCTTGTTAAAGGAGCCGCACCAGCGTGAAGAACACAGTGAGGCTGCACGGGTTTAAATCTCAACTCTCCCGTCTACTTGCTGGGTGGCCTAGAGCAAGTGCCTTAACCTCTCTGAGACCCCCTTTCTTCGTCTGTAACATGGGGGCAAGTAATCTCCCCTTGTTCTGAGGAGTAACAGTATACTTAATCATTTACCCGACGCTTACTCATGCTCTGTGACGGGCCAGCATGCAAAGCAGGTGAAAGTGGGGTATGGCAGGTGCTCGGCTTCGGTTTTTAGAGTGAACCTCCCGTTACATGGAGGCTCCTCTTTTTAGGTTTCTGACCAATTCACCCACCTCACAGACCTCCTTCTGCTCACAGATGACAGAAATCTCCTCTCAGAGAATCCCCCCGTGAATTCTTAGGTTCTTTCCTCTCCCATTCCCCTTTTTGCTCTCTCCCTCCAAAAGCAAGAGCTGCTTTGCAGGCCGTCTGTGAAAGCTAGGACTTGCAGTAGCGGTTGCGCATTCCTGAGGGAGCGCTGACATTTCTGCTCTCCGCCGCCAAGAACGGTGGAAAAACTGGCTTCTTAACCCGGCTCCACCCTCACACACACACACACACACACACACACACACACACACACACACACACACACGTACCACGGCTGGAATTGAGACAAATTCTTCACATGGGACATTTACACTTCATAAAAAGGATCATGTCAATCTTGAGTATTTTAGCTTTATATTTTAATAGAGTCACTGACAAACTAAATGTCCAAAGTGTTTTCCAGATGGTGTGTAGTCTCCAAATTAATGTTAGTGAAGTTTACAGGAAGGATTGTCTCTTCTGGGCCTGGCCAGGATTTTGAGGAGGAATGTGATTGCTGTCCCCAAATCCTTGAAGGGCTTTGGCAGAAGAGTGTTAGGCTTACTCTGGTAGCTTCAGAGGACAAAACAAGTGTCAATGAGAGGAAGCAAAAGAGAGGCAGCTGCTAACCCAGGGGAAGAGAGAGTTTCCAAATAGAGAAGTCAAAAACAGTGCTGACTTCCTCGTCAGGGCCCGTGCTCCTTCCCACTGTGTGCATTAAGGGGACCGTTTGTCCAAGATTCCCCAGGGCCACACTGATTTCATGTAATTATTTGAATTAAGGGTTATTTATTAAAATTATAGCAAAATATAATTTGATTTTGTGTCCCTGTTTACCATGTCACCCAGAAAAAAAAGCCTGGATTCGGTCAAGCATGCTGATTTTTGGTTTGCACACAATGAGAGATTTCTATATTAAGTGGGAGTTCAGACACAAAGGGCCCCCGAGTTCCCAGATTCTATGATAAATAGGTTGCTGTTGGTGACTTTGAATGAGGAAGTGCATGGGAATCAAATGGAGAACTCTGTTCCCAGGCTGTACACTTGAGTGGTGTCAGCTTTGGCTCAACAGATGAGGCTGAAACTCTGAAATCTATTAAAATTGCTGGAAGGGAGGGAGAGAGCAATCAGGAACCCGCCATTCAGTTCATACACTGAACACCTACTGTTTATTTCAGCAACTCAATATATTTGCAACTAGTCACAAAGCACTACCATATATAAAAGAACATCTACAAATCAATAAGAAAAAGACCAAAGACCCAAATTAAAAGCAGGCAAAAGAAATGTACAGATATTATGTGGAACAGGGAATACTGTCTCTTATACATTTGAAAAGATACTCATACTCAAAATAAGAGAAATTCATTTTTAAATGACGGAGACCCTTCACACCCTTTAGGATGGTTACTATTAAAAAAACAAAACAGAAAATAAGTGTTGGTAAGGACATGGAAAAACTGGAACCCTAGTGGGAATGTAAATGGTGTAGAAAACAGTATAGAAGTTCTTCAAAAACTTAAAAATAGAATTACCACATGATCCAGCAACTCCACTTCTGGGTATACACTCAAAAGAAGTGAAAGCAGGGTCTCGAAGAGATATTTGCACGCCTGTGTTCATAGCAGCATTATTCACAATAGCCAAAAGGTGAAAGCAACTCAAGTGTCCATCAACAGATGAATGGATAAACAAAATGTGATATATATATATACAGTAGGATATCATTCAATCTAAAAAGGAAAGAAATTCTGACATATGCTACAATGTGGATAAACCTTGAATACATTATGCTACATGAAATAAGTCAATCAAAAAAGACAAATACTGTATGATTTGGCTTATACACTGAGTAGTCAAATTCATGGAGGCAGAAGGTGTTATGGCGTTGGCCAGGGGTGTAGAGCAAGAAAGAATGAGGAGTTACTATTTAATCAGTACAGAGTTGCAGTTTTGCAAGATGAAAAGAGTTCAGAGACGGATGGGGTGATGGCTGCACAACAATGTGAACATATTTAATACCACTGTGCACTTAAAGATGGTAAAGATGATAAATTCTATGTGTATTTTACCACAACTGAAAATAATTTTTAAAACTCAAGATGCCATTTTTAACCTTCCCTGTCAGTAAAGATCACAAATTAGAAAGCATATTATGTTGGCAAAAAGTATGTGAAAATAAGCACTCTTGTGATTTGTTGATCAGAGCATAAATAATCTTAGGGGAAAACAATTTTTCAATATCTGCCCAAACTAAAATCGCAATTACCCTTTGACCCTTGGTCAAGCAATTCTATTTCTAGGAATATAGCTTACCCCTACATGTGTGATATAGCATATCATCAAGGTTTTTCATTGCCACAAAAGATTGGAGACAACCTAAATGTTCATCGATAATGGCCTGGCAAAACATACTATTGCCATCCAATAGAATAATATGCAACCATTAGCATGCAACTCATTACATGCTGATACAAAACAATCTCCAGGGTGGTGGTAAGTGTGCAAAACTGTGTATACCATGCTACCATTTGTGTTTAAAAACAAAGTGAAAAGAGAATATGGGTCTATGTTTTTATTTATTTTCTTTTGCCTAAAAATAACTTCAAGCAGAGGCAAGAAACTGGTAACAGGTAACAATGGTCACTTCAGTTACATCCTACAGAAGAAAACTAGACAACCAGGGGACAGATTTGGGAGAGAGACTTGCTTTCCACTATTTATCACCTTTATCTTTTAAATGTAGCACCATGTACAGGTATGACCTATTCAAAAAAATTTAATTAAAAAAAGAAAAGTTATAGTCTAGAAGGGAAGAAACATAACAGACACTTTTAGCCCAGTGCCCTGTGCTGGGTGCAGTGGGAACAGAGAGGAACAGTATGTAGCACAGCCCAAAGGGATCAGAAATGGCTTCTAATCAACATTCTCCAAGGAAGAAATTTTTGCTGCTGTATCAAGAATAGTTGTGCATCTCTTCCTGACCATTGGTTTGTTTCTATCAACAGATCTGTGACTTAGTGTAAAGACTTGTGAATTAATTCACTGATTAGGTTTTCCTTTGCACAGAGGCTGTTAAAAACCTATAAGCCAAACGTATGCCCCACCCGGTGCAAGGTGGGCAGGTTTCTGTGGTAAGCATTAAGCGATGCCCGTGTCCCTGGCTCCACACTATGGCTTCCCTATAAGCCATTCTATAGCCTGTTCAGTTTAAGTTGGGGTAGGTGGGTGGGTGCGGAATGAGGGAGGGAGGGAGGGAGGGAGGGGAAGAAAGAGAGAATAGAGGTTACAAAGCAATGCATATCATTTTCCTTGGCTCCATCATGTAGACTAAGTGAATACTCTGGTGCAGTGGTTCTCAAAATGTGGTCCTTGGACCAGCATCATCATCACCTGTGAGTTTGTTAAACATCAAAATCCATGGGCTTCATCCCAACCTATCAAATTAGACTCTGTGGATGGGGCCCAGGAAACTGTTTTATATGCCCTCCAGGTGATGTTTATGCACATTAAAGTTTGAGAACCATGAGAAACCAAAGATAGGTTGATTTTCAAAAATAAATATAGTACTCTCCATTTGCCCCATCATACCTATTGTGTTGGTCAAGATAAATAGTGCCGGCTACTGCAATAATCATTCCCCAAAACCTCATTAGCTTAACACAATAAAAGTTTAATTTTTTCTAATGTCACAATCCAGTGTAGATCAGTTGTGGGAAAGAGGTAAAGAGAGTTGCTTTATTAAGTTATTCAGCAAACCAGGTACCCTCCACTGTAATACTTTGCCAACTTTTAGGCCCTGGGACTTTCCCCTCTGGACGCCCTGCATCTAAGAAGGCAGTGGGGAGAGGAAAGAGAGAGGAGGTTTTTAGCAGCCAGGTCTGGAAGTAACATCTTTTCTGCCCACAATTCCACTGGTCAGAACCCAGTCACATGGCCCGTCTAGCTGCGGGAGAGGCTGGGAAAGACGGCCTATCTGGGCAGCTAAGAGGAAAAGGGAATGGCTTTGAAGCACATAACATTGTCTCTGCCACATCCAGCAACTCAAGTGAATCCCCAACTCTACTTCTAGTTTATGTTTTGGTGAACACTGGTTTTTAATTTCCTTTTCTAATCAAGTTTTATTTTTTCTTTTTTAACTCTAGCACGATGGGACTGTGGCGCTTTCTCTTCGTGGTGGTCTTCTTCCTGCTCCCTGGTAAGAACCTTTTAGCTTTGTAAAGTCCCGGAATCCTTCCACTGTCTCCCGATGAGTCTGACCACTGCAAGCCCAGGCCAGAGACTTGGTGGCTTTTACTCAGTTTCTACTGAATGTTGCACAACACCACATGCAAAACAGACTTTCCTGGAGAAGAAGGAAGTGTTGTGATTGAAACCAGGTATCTCAGCTGATGGCAGGCAGGCCCAGCCTGGGACGGAGCCCTGCCGTGTGTGCAGCCTCCTCCTCTGCCATCTCAACCAGTGAGCCTAGCTGCACAGAATAGGGCAGTCCGGCCTGTCCTGCGGCGCCCAGGGGCAGGGCAGGGCGGCCGCACTGAGGCCCCCGAGACTTGACCACTGTGGCTCCACACATGCTCCCTTCTGATCTTCTCTGACCCCGTTTCTGCCATTCTCAGGCTCTTAGGAAACAGCTGACGGGCTTCCAAAGGCAAAGGTCTCCTTCCATATGGGGCATTGGTGTCCACGTCCCCTGCCTTCCCTTCCCCCTCCCACCCCCTTCCCCACGTGGCCACCCCCATAGATCACGGCTGCCACTGGTCACCGACAGCTGCGGACCTTCGGCAAGTTGCATCATCCCGTTCATCACGAAGCTAATGAAGCTGAAGCTTCAGGGCCCCACCCACACAAACCCTTTCCAGATCTCCCTCAGGACCCCTGCAGGAGCCCTAGCAGTGTGGTCACATGTCTTATGTTTTGGTAAAATTTGAGTAAGATATTTTAACCACGAGTAGTTATAACCACGGTCTCCTTTCTCTGCGATTTTCCCTTCCATCATGTTGGGCAGTGTTGTAGTGACCATGGGTATATTGTATTCGAATTCTACCTTCTTTTTCTTACAAATCTCCCTCTTCAAAATACGAATAGGTCCAAGCCTCACAAAACCCAGATCTTCCCTGTTTGCTGCTCCTCCCCGAGCACACTGTTTCATCTGTGAACTGGGGTTGGCTGGGTCCCTGCCATGCATCCTGTGACTCAGTGCCTTTTATTAATAGTTTCCAGTCTGCCCCTTCCTGCTGCAGCCCTGAGAGGGGAGCCAGACGGACAGGGCGGGGAGCTGAGCCACCCCTGACTAAGCGGCCCGCTGTGAATCCACCTGCTCCAGAGGGCCACACAACAGGCCGTTGGCCACCGCCCCCAGGCCTGCTGGGGGTGACAAGGAGTCAGGGTACAAGGGAGAGGTGCTCCTTCAGATCAATGCTGGCTGGAATAGGCCTTTTGTGATTTTTGTTTTCTGCTTAGCACCTTGAGCTTGTCGACTCTACGAGAGTGGGGTCTTTAGATGTGGCAACTGATCACTTTGCTGACTTAGGCAATAACAGCTGCTTCCACCTCCCAGGGCCCACGACCTGCCACCTTAGCTCTTGGGGAGGTGCAAGAAGTGTGTGTGTGTGCGTGTGTGTGTGTGTGTGTGTGTGTGTGTGTGAACAAGAGCAAGAGAGAGTGCGTGAGTGAGAAGGAAAGGGAGGAAAACAAGACCCTGGAGGACATCATCCAGCAAGATTCCCTTTTCATCCCACTTCTTATTTATGTGACAAATATATACATATATACACAGTCATGAGTCATTAAATGATGGGGATACGTTTGGAGAAATGTGTTGTTAGGTAATTTCATCATTGTGCAAACACCGTAGAGTGTACTTAACACAAACCTAGACAGCATAGCCTGGTGCACACCCAGGCTGTATGGCATGGCCTATTGCTCCTAGACTACAAACCTGTGCAGCATGTTACTACCCTGGATACTGCAGACAGTTCAAACACAATGGTAAATATTTGTGTATCTAAACATATTTAAACATAGAAAATGGTACAGTAAAAATACTGTATTATAATCTTATTGGGTCCACCATTGTATATGCGGTCTGTCTTGACTGAAATGTTATTATGCAGTGCATGATTAAAAAAAAAAAAGAAATATATATATCTCACTTACTTTGGGCCAGATACTGTTCTAAGCATTTTATAAATATCAACTCATTTAAGCATCACAATAACTTTCTGCTTTAGGTCTTGTTATTATTCCCCATTTTAAGATGTGGACTCTAAAGCCCAGAGTGGTTAAATAATTTACCCACGGTCAACATAGCTACTATAATAAATGGCAGGGCTTGGAGTCACACCCAGCAGTGTAGATTAGCATCTGTTCACTGAACCGTGACATTGTGCTGCTTCTCCTAACTCTTGCTAGTGAATCATCGTAAGTGGTTAAGATTTTTCCTTGGGGACCTGAACAGCTTTGGTGGGGGATACAGCTTCTGCCTCATCCCTGTCCACAAGCTCCCAGCAGCACATCATCTGTCTCACCTGCAGCTGACACCTCAGCTGACCCTAAGGCTTGGTCCCCAGCCCTTCTTATCAGAGTGGCCAGCCCAGCTCTTATGACCTGGGGAAGAAGGAAGAAAAATGCCCTGGAAACAAATTTTCAGAAAATGCTAAACTGGAACACCATTTCCCCCAAAACTTTCTGACTCTGCACACCAAAAGTGAGAAAGTAAAGGCTAGAAATCCTATGAAAACTGAGTCCAGGTGTCACTTTTGCCCTTGCCTTGCCTTTGAAACTGCTTGGGAACTAAACAGTTATTGATATTGAAAGCTTAAAAATAACTCCCCCAAATGGTAACTATTTAAGTTTTATGGTGATGAGAGAATAAATGACTGTACTTTTGGCAGTATGAATTTAAAGTGGAATAGAAAACCTGTGACACCAGATTAGAAAATAACATTGCCAATACTTCATACACTATTAAAAACAACAACAAAACAGATGTCATTCTTTAAAAAAAATGAAAAGAATTTATTTGCATTTTATCTTTCTTTCTTCTCAGGGGCACCTCTGCTTACTGGGACCTAGTTGTAGGGCAGGCATCCAAAGGGAGAAAAGATATACAATTGACCCAGATAATTCACAGCAAAAATGCAAGGCTGAATAATTCATTTGATGGTGTAGATACAACAGTACACTGAAACAATTCTGTTTCTTCTTTTCCTCCCTTACCTTTTGTGTCTTCCCTTTGTCATGGAAATTGGACATAGTAGTAGTTGCTACCCCTGCCTGGAGGCTAACATTGGAGAGTTTAAAACTGAAATGGGCAGGAGGGGCAGCCCTGGCCTTGCGGAATTAGGTTACAATTTGTGCTTTGTGTTTATAAAGCTAAAGGAATTTCTAAGTGCCACTTGCAGAAGCACCTCTAAGTGTCAAGCTCTGTTTGCTGCTATTCTGGCCCCTCCGTAACACTTTTAGGCTACAGCCAGAGTGGTTTTTGGAAAATTAGTAGTAGTGGTTTTTGGAAAATCACCCCACATCAGGAGGAAGTATCTTTCCAGTATGACTTTTGGTAGTTGGTCTCTGTTTTGTCTAAGGGTTTTCCAGATCCTGGGGCTTCTCATTTCTCTTGAAGCACACTTCTGATTCAATTAGTGTACCTGGAGTGGTGGTTGGAATCTTTCTTCACTTTAAGATGTATGTAAAATTGACTCAAACACACATTCCACATCCCGTGGCAAGGTCCACTGTTTTTCCCCAGATTTTTGTAGGTTCCTACATGGATGGTGCATGAGGATAAAGTTTATGTGGTTACTTCTGACCCTCATTTCCTACTGTTGTTAATAGCTAACTAAAATTACCACCTGGAGGTGAATAAGCAGTTCAGACCTATCATTCCCAAAGAATTGTCATGGAGCCTAATATTAAATAATTCCGCTGGAGTCACTCCTTTGGTTAAGGTACTATTTCAGGGTCTTTTTAAATACATGTATGTTACACAGCAGGGATTATCTTGCCCCCAAATTAGTTGATTATTTCAGTAATGCTTTTAGTAGGTTCTAAAAAAAATGGACAATCACACAAGTTAATTCAGTGGAAGACAGTCACCGAAGAGGATGCATATGGGGTTGTTTGGGAACAAGAGTGAAATTGGTAGGGAAGAGAGAGGCCCCAGTGACAAGCAGCCTCCTTTAGGCAGGAACAAGAGTTTGAGAGACAGTGGCTTATTTTTCTTTTATGAGAGAGGGAGTCTTAATACCATTTCCATAATGTATAACCTGGGATTTTGGCCCCCTCAGTACTGTTGACATTTATGGAACCAAAAACACTTATAGCCCTCCTTTATAGCCAAGATTTTACCTCTAGAGCTAAGCTATTCCACAGAGGTGACCCCTTTTACAATACCATGCCATAGGACCAAGTTCTAAGATGTCAAAATTAGGGAAACACTGTTAACACACTCGGAGAGTACTTACCCATTCTTGGTTTCATTTTCACCCTTTCTTTCATTCTTTCTCCCTAGATAGATAAATATCTCTATGTCCATATATGGAAGTGAAACTCAATGGAAATCAAGCAGGCAGGAAGGGAGAGGAGAGGATGGGTAAATTCACACCTAATGGGTACAGTGCACACCGTCTGGGTGATGGGCACACTTGTAACGTTGACTCAAACTGTACAAAAGCAAATTATGTCACCAAAATGTTTGTACCCCTGTAATATTCTGAAATTTTTAAAAAATGAAAAAATTTCAACTATCCCCCACTATTTAAATGTCACTTTTATTGTCCTTACTTCAAAGAAACAGACAAGAATGTAAAAATAGTCATATATAATTGTGATCAAAATATATATGCAAATCTCTGACTATGTTTTATTCAACATTGTTTCATACATACTTTCTCAGGTTTCTAAATGCTTTCCATTTTTATAATTTTTGAAATTGTAATAGTCCTTTGAGTCAAAATATTATAATTTGCTTTATTTTTTGTGTGTTTTGTTCATTTGGATATTATTGTCCCATTGTCTTCTTTGGTTTATGGTTGCTAAGGAGCTTTCAGTCTAATTGTCATTGTTTTATAAGTATTCTTTCTTCATTATTTAAAGAATAATCTATTGGATTCTTCTTTATAAGTTTGAAAAAATGTATACTTTATGTTTAGGTAAATTCACCACAATATTTCTAGGTGTAGATTTATTTTCATTTATTTT